AGCCATTTTACCAACATCAAACGCGCCCACAACAAGGAAAAGGTCCTGCAATAGAAAACCCCTCCTGGAGGAGGCAGAGTGTAACAAGTCAAACTGCTCCTGAGGGAAAAATTAGGTGTTTTCAGTGTGGAAAGTGGGATCATATAAGGTATCAATGTCCCCTTTTAAGAAAAGAAAAGACAACCCTCTTCGTTAATAAAGTAAAAGAAACAAAGAAAACAGAACCAAATACTGTGTCAAAGGAGAGTTCGGAAACGGTGCCTCAAGAGAAACAATGTTTGTTCATTTTGTCAAACACCGCAACTGAGGATTACTTAGAATCCATTTCCATTGACAACAAAGACATGAGAGGGTGGCGGGACACAGGATCTGATGTGTGTATTATACATCCAGATATAATACCTCAGAAATTTCAGCATCCTACCTCTGAAATAAGATTAAAAGGCTTGGGACCTGCAATACCAACAGCAGTAGTGTCTTTGCCAATAGAATATGGAGGTTGGAAGGGTATGTGGGATTTTGCAGTCAGTCCAGACATACCATACAGGTGTTTAATTGGAAATGATCTGGCTAAAAAGATTGGAAAGTGGAGAATGATGTGTGAGGAGGAAGAATATAACAGCAAAAGCCCTGATCAAAAAGCCATGTGTTTCGCCATACAACAGGAGGGGGATGAGAATCCAGAATCCAGCACTATGGTTGCTGAGCTTATTAAGAAGACAGGAGGAGTCAGAGAAATTCAACAGGAACAAAGAGCAGATGAATTTCTAAAACCTTTGTTCGCTTTGGCTCAAAACCTCACAGTATCAGCAAAAGGGCAGCCCTCCAAGTTTGTGTTAAAGAATGGTGTCTTGTATAGAGAAACCAGAAACATGAAGTCAACAGAAGGATCAATGACATGTAATCAGATTGTAGTGCCTCAAAGTTTTAGAGAACAGCTGATGAGGGCGACACACGAGAACCCTCACGGTGGTCATCTGGGCGTGAGGAAAACCACAAAGAGGATCACTAAAAACTTTTATTGGCCTGGCATGTTCCAGAAGATCAAAGAGTTTTGCCAGTCTTGTGATATCTGCCAAAGATTGAGTACTGGAAGGGATAAAATTAAAGCTCCTATGATCCCTATGCCGGTAATTGCAGAACCATTTTACAGAGTGGGCATTGACATAGTTGGTCCTCTTTGTAAGCCAAGCAGACGTGGTTACAGATACATTCTAACCATGATTGACTACGCCACAAGATATCCAGAGGCTGTAGCTCTAACTAACATTGAGACAACAACGATTGCAAATGCACTGTTATCCATTTGGGGAAGAACTGGTTATCCTAGAGAATTGGTTTCTGATTTGGGAACTCAATTTACTTCCAGACTTATGTCAAAATTGCTTGAGTTATGTGGAATCAGACACCTGACTTCAACAGCTTATCACCCACAGACAAATGGACTAGTTGAAAATCTGAACAAGACTTTAGTCAAAATGATAAAGTCTTACAGTCAAAAGAAGCCATACGACTGGGACGTCAAAGTACAACAACTGTTATTCACCTACAGGACCGTCCCTCATGACAGTACTGGCTACAGTCCGCTTGAATTGCTATATGGAAGGAAAGCTCATGGTCCATTAGACCTGATAAAGGAATACTAGGAGGAAAATCCAGCAACAGATCCAGTTCCAGTGTCGGAGTACCTAAAGGATCTTCAATCAACAATGCAACTGGCTAGGGACATTGCACAAGAACATTTGCTTGCAGCTCAGCAAAGACAAAAAGACTATTATGATTCTACTGCTAAGCCAAAGATCTTCAACATCGGAGATGAAGTTTTGTTTTTATCTCCCAACAAAACCAACAAACTGCAATTAGATTGGTCGGGACCCTGGAAGATCACCAGGAAACACAATCAAATAAACTATGATATTTATGATGAACATTCAAATGTGGAAAGAAGAGTTCATGTAAACATGTTAAAGCCTTATGTTAGAAGGTCTGCTAATGTTTATTTTGTTGTTTCGGAAGAAGAATCCGGTCCCTTTTCTTTTTGGGAGGGTGATCGTGAACAATACAAAAATTTGGATCGGGTAGAAATAAACAGTGAATTGTCCCAACCACAGCGAAGAGAGGTTGTGGAAATTTTGAGTAAATATAAAGATATATTTTCAGATTTACCAGGAAAGGTCCAGGGAGTCCAGCATCAAATAAACACCGGTGATGTAGCTCCTATAGTATGTCCACCCTACAGGGTCACAGGGAGACCCAATGAATGTATTGAAAGGGAGATTAAAGAAATGTTGGACCTAGGTATCATTGTTCCATCGATTAGCTCTTGGGCTTCACCCATAGTATTAGTACAGAAGCCAGACAAGACAATTAGATTTTGTGTAGATTATAGGCAATTAAACAAGGTAACCCAAACAGATACTTATCCTATGCCATGTTTGAATGATTTGCTGGAAAGGATGGGGAAGGCCAATTTTATTAGTAGTATAGATCTAACCAAAGGATTTTGGCAAGTGCCCATGGCACCACAGGATCAACATAAAACCGCCTTCCGGACCCAAAATCGGCTATTTGAATTTTCCGTACTTCCATTTGGGTTAAAGAACAGCCCAGCCACATTTCAGAGATTAGTGGACAGAGTTTTAAGTGGGCTGGGGTCTTTCTGCGTGGCCTATATCGATGATATAGGGATTTTCAGTGATTCATGGGAAGCTCACCTTGAACATTTGGATCTGGTATTAAGTAGGTTGAGGGAAGCAGGGTTAACTATTAAAGCTTCCAAGTGCAAGTTAGGATACAATACTACCAAGTATTTAGGACATTTAGTGGGAGGAGGTTGTATTTGACCTGACCCTACTAAAGTGGCAGTTATTCACCAGTGGCCTGTGCCCAAAACAAAAAAACAGGTTAGGGCACTCCTTGGATTGGCTGGATACTATCGTAAATTCATTCCATCTTTTAGTGATTTGGCAGCCCCTCTTTCGGATCTTACCAAAAAGAAGAACCCGAATCAGGTAATTTGGACTCCAAATTGTCAAACTGCCATGGATCAATTGAAGAAAGCCATTACTTCGGATTCGGTCCTAATTGCGCCAGATTTTGATAAACCTTTTATTCTAACATGTGATGCATCGGATACTGGGCTAGGAGCTGTCCTAAGCCAGTTAGATGTAGAGGGTGAGGACAGACCTATTTTGTTTTTGAGTAAAAAATGGCATTCCAATGAATATAACATGTCAATGATTGAAAAAGAATGCTATGCCATCATATGGTCAGTAAAAAAATTAAAGCCATATTTGTGGGGGAGAAAGTTTACCTTACAAACGGACCATGCTCCATTAAGATGGCTAGATAATGTAAAAGGTACGAATAACAAATTATTGAGATGGAGTTTATGTTTACAGGATTTTACATTTGAAATTAAACATGCTTCAGGTAAACGAAACATAGTCGCAGACGCCTTATCTAGAATTTCGTATGGTAAAAGGTTTGTATATATGCATTATAATATATTTAACCATATTGTGATTGCCTTTCAGAAATATTGTGTATTTAGATATTGTTGGATAATTTGTGGAATTATTTTTGCCCATTCCGGGAGTGAGAATGGCCCAAAAATAATTTTTCTGTGGGGGAAGGTGTACAGGAGTTGATTATAAATTGTATGATTTTAACTGTATTTGTGTTTAGATTGGCTGCAGTAATGCTGGAGCGGCCTAAGTCAGAGGAGTCCTCCATGGGCGTTGCCATGGAGACCGATGCTGGAGAGAGGGAAGTGGGAGGAGCTTAGCGGGGAGAGTTTGAACAAACGACAGTTAAAAATCAGTTAGGGTTTAGGTTTAGGGGAGTGAGCAGTCAGGAGTTAGGTTTAGAGGAGTGAGGAGTTAGGAGTTGGGAGAGAAGGAAAGGAAAGGTGGGAGAGAAGGAAAGGAAAGAAAACAGTGTGCTGTTTCCCCCCGAGTATTACAGGTTCCACACATATGTGTCAGTTACAACTCTTTTTTTCGCCCCTCCCCTCCATTTCCACAGTTGACATTTCACCTCTCTTGCCTTAGGTTTGTTTCTTTGGAAAGCAATACCTGTCGCAAGGTGGGGCATTCGCAACAGTTAGTTGCAAACCCCCGTTAGGTAATCTTGATTGTGTCTGATGGAAACGTCTTGGGTAAACAGCATCTTGTGTACAGGGCCACTTGCTCAAGAGGCCAAATGTTACATTACCCTTTTGCACATGGGGTGTTTTGGAAATTTAACAAAAAAACAACCTTATCAGATAATGTTAGGTCAACCCACAGATTGAGTCAATACTGAAAAACTATTCTGATTTCTGGGTTGTTGGGAGCTTTCTGGGCTGTATGGCCATGTTCCAGAAGCATTCTCTCCTGACATTTCGCCCACATCTATGTGACAACTTCACAACCTCTGAAGATACCTGCCATAGATGTGGGTGAGACGTCAGGAGATAATGCTTCTGGAACGTGGCCATACAGCCCAGAAAACTCCCAGCAACCCAGTGATTCCAGCCATGAAAGCCTTCAACAACCCAGATTCTGATTGTGAAGCAAAACTTTGAGGCTTTGAAAAGCTGGGTTTGGCTATTGGAAGTTTCTCAGGCTAGTGCAGCCGCACACTAGTTTATTAAAACTGAGAAGTTTGTGTCACCCAACTCTCCGGTTTGGTGAGTTTTGCTTACCCCTGCTTCTACCTATTGATATTAACAACGAAGCGGTTGCAATCCTTCATAATGACTCTCATTCCAGTGATAAAGTAATACTCCCAAATATTTGTATAGACATGGGGCTAACATGCTGTTGTGGAAGGAAATGTCCATAGAACTAAGTGCTTCCTCCATATTATTTAGCATAGCTTTTGCACACATAGGCATACATTCATTTATAGACTGGTTCCTGCAAAGTTTACTTTTATTTTAAAAACTAAGGCAGATTGTGATCATTCATATCTCTTCCTCTCTGTCTTTGCTTTCTACAGTAAACAAGTGCATAGTATGGAACTGTGTAAGGCATTTTGTATGGTGAAAAGTATATTGTGGATTCAGGATTTGTCAAACCGAAGTTCCTTCCTTGGTAGTGCCATCATTTTCTTCCTGGAATAGAATGAAAAGTATGTTACTGCATCTAAAATCTTGGTGTGGTAGACCAAACAAAAACACGTTCAATTAACTTTTTCAGCAGGGCCCAGTACAGGAAGTGTATGCATTGCCACAACATATTACAGAACGATTGGCAAGAAAAGTCATCTAGCAGAGTTAGCTGCAGGCCTATATTTCCTGTAGCATCGTTCAAGAGAAGAAATTCCTTCCTATTCTCCCCAGAGTGGTTAGGCTGGGGTGCCCGGGAGGGGGCCTATATTTTTCCCCTGTCGCATCGTTTTTCATAAGAAGAAAAAATTTTTTATCCCTTCCTATTCCCTAGTACGTGACCACAGACCCTGTAACAGCAAGCTAGTGGGCGGAATGTAGAAAAAACACGTCGTGGGGGGGCCAGTGGTTCTGTTTTTGTTAAGGATTTCGGTCCGACTCTTTGTAATTCGGACTAAACAACCTTATGGAAACAAAAAGAGGTGGGGGGTGGGGGGGTGGGGGCTATTTTTGGGGAGTGGATTTTCCCCCGAATTTTTTTTTAAGGAAAATTCGGGGGTGTGTGAAAACGGGGCCGACAAGAAGACACCCCTTAATGAAATTGCCCCATCCGAAAGGCTTTTTCCCCCCCCCCATTCTGGTGTAACAAATACCATGTGCTAAAGGTTAAAAGTCCCCGCGGAAAGAAAATGGGCCCCCCCCCCGCCCCTCCCCATTTGAATGACGAAAATACCGTATTAAATGTACGAAGAAGTCCAAAATGTGGAAAAGTGAAACAAGACGAACGGCAAAAGTAAAATGCAACCTAGAAAATTGGTTACAAGGACCTTAAAGGGACGAATTACCTTCCCTTCGTGTGAACCCCCGAGTAGAACGGGGACACAGAAGTTAATAAATGATTATGGCTTGCAGAAATCGGGACCGACAAGATCTCCATTGGGATTTGTAATACGCGTATCCAAAAGGTCCCCCCCTCTTTTTTTTTTTACTTCCCTGGGAAGCCATGTTAAAAAAGCAGCCTGAGTGAATGTCCCCCCTTCTTTTCCCCTGGAAAGCCGTGTTAAAGAAGCAGCCTGGGTGAATGTTCCCCTTTCCTTTCCCCTGGAAAGCTGCTTTAAAGAAGCAGCCTTGGCGAATGTCCCCCCTTTCTTTCCCCTGGAAAGCCATGTTAAAGAAGCAGTCTGGGCGAATGTCCTTCTTCCTACTCTTTTCCTCCTCTTCTTCCCCTTAAGCGGCTGAGGGGGAAAAGGAAAGGGCCTGAGGATGTTAGGAATGGTGGGAGTTGAAGTCCAAAACACCTGGAAGGAATACCTGATCTGCTCTCAGATACATTGCTATGTAATGCATCTTGAATCTGCATTATGTATATACTCAGTAATGTAGACTTCTATCATGCCTTCTATGAGTCTCCATAATGCATAATGCAGTAGGTCTGCAGTTTGAATCCGGTATAGCAGTTTGAGGGGCCAGCGGGAAGGTAATGGCACTCCATACAGTCATGTTGGTGACATGACCTTGGAGGTGTCTATGGACAACGTGTCTCTTTGGCTTAGAAATGGAGATGAGCATCACTCCACAGAGGAAGACAGGACTAGACTGAATTTCAAGGGGAAACCTTTACCTCTAATTTGATAATCTGAATTATGTGACAGGAGGAGGAGGATCGCCTCCTCCTCCTCCACATTGACAGCCAAGGCAGGCCTGGAGTGGAAGAGCCCCTGAAGTTTCCCCAGAGCCAGTGCTGTTTTTTTCCAACTGCGCATGCATGTCTGCCATTAATGTTTTGGAAGTCTCGGAAGTTTCAAAAAGTTTTGAACATTTTTTTTTCTATGAAAATCAGAATTGATTTCCAGATCGAACCACCATCCGAAATGAGTTTTGAACCATTTTTTTAAAATCAAACAAGCCTAATAGAAACAGAATAGTATCAGGTACCTTTTCCTGAAACTGCTCTTGTAACTTTGTCACTGTTTCTCTTTCCTTAGCCAACTGCTCTTGGGTGATCTTCAAAAGCTCTTTTAGTTTGGTAGCTGCACATCCCAAGTCCTTCGTTAACTTCTTCTCCTTGTCTAGTGTTTCCTGCAATTGCAAACAAAAGTAATCTTTATCTTCCACCAACAAATCCTCAGTATTTCCAAGGATAGATTGTAATGAGGTCTTGCATTTGACCAGAAGTTTTGTCAATCTGGGCAGCTTTATAAATATTACCTGAAGTTGGAGAACCTCTTCATTTGCAGAAGCAGAAACGCTTCCAGAAGATTTCAGGTTCTCCAGTTCAGATTGCAAACTGCACACCAAATCCCTTGCCTGAAAGTTCAAAATGTGAAAAAGTTAGTCACACAAATAAAAAGTCTCAAGATAGTTTGGAACTGGAATTTTAAAGTAGCAAAGTAAAAACAATATGACAAAACATTCCACAAAATATGTTACAAACATTACTAGCATTTTCAAAACAATATTATGAGTTTATATCCAAGGGATGCTCAAACCTCTAACAGTGAATCCAATCGTTAGGAGAAAGAGGTGATATAAATAAATAAGTAAATAACAGCAGCAAATTCCTTTGACAATACTTTTAATGTTCTCCAAAATTCACTTTGTAGAAATAACCAATATCCCTGTGTTGCTTTTGAAATGACACCATATCCTTGAAGTCACCAAAATACCCCAAGAGGCAGTTCATTAATTCCAAAGTGTTTATTACTGTGAACCATTTTGAAACCATTATGATGCAGACACTTACCTGTGTAAGCTCCTGACTTTGCTGAAGTATTTGTGTTTTTGTTTCCTCCAGATTTTTTTCAGATTCAGATAGTGTTTGTTTCAACTAAAAAAAATAAAGGCACCATCACTTAAAATTAGTGTACATACACCGTTCAATTGAAGACAATAGGTCACAGCCGTGGCTGTAAACAATTGCCTGTGTAGGTGTTGTATGTAAATTCACAGAACTGGTGCAGATTGATCAGAAGAATAGTAACTGCAACTGATGAAATGCAAGGGAGATAACTGACAGCATCTCTCAGGCCCCTTCTACACTGCCCTATATTATTATTATTATTATTATTATTATTATTATTATTATTATCTTTATTTATACCTCGCAAAATCTCCCGTAGGACTCGATGCGGCTTACAAAGGCCAAGGCTGCCAACAACAACAACATACAATATACAATAAACTCATAAACAAATAATAAAACATCAAGCAAAACAATAAAACAATAACACCGTGACGCAATTTAAAACCATGGATTTGATCCCGGATTATCTGCTTTAAACTGGATTATGAGTCTCCACTACCTGGGATAAACAGATAATCTAGGATCAGATCCTGGGATATAGGTGCGGTGTGGAAGGGGCCTCAGTCTCCTTTCAGATCTTTGTTTGGTTTACAGCAACTCTAGAGCCCATTTCTTTCAGCTTACTGGTGAAAGGCAGAGATATATACAAAATGTAGTAAGTAAAGGAGTGGGTTTGGTGACAGTGTGCATACAGAGAAAGCTCAGAGAAGAGCTGTATTTTGTATGTGTATATGCGTAAGTATTGTGCAGGGAATGTATGCTTAGGGGAGCAGATCAAGAAATAAAATTTATTAGATAAATTTTGGGAGGTGACCTAATGCAGGGCTTCTTAAACTTTTTCCAATTGCAACCCCTTTCTGCCTGAGATTTTTTTATGCAGCCATGGGTATACAGGTATATAGAATATGCATACATATCAATCATTTACAGGTAACAAATCAGCATTTGCAAGGCTTGCTAAACATGCTGATTTTCCTTTTTGTGTACAGCTAAAAATGTTCTGCAGAGTCCACTATAAACACTGCACATTGTTCCTAATGGACCCATGTAAGTGGGCAGCATTCAAAAGTTTTCTGCTGTTGCCAATTTTTTTGTGATCCCCACCATTGACATATGGGGGCTCCATTTGGGGTTCCTCAGTTTCAGAAGCAGTGATCTAATGAACACACTATCCTGTTATGGATCTGGTGCCATCTAAGTTTGTGACTGGTTAGGCTCATCTATATAAATAAAAATGTAATGTTTGTTTGTGAGATTAACATAACTCAAAAAACCACTGGGCAAATTTGGACACAATACACCTATCAGGCCATTGAGTGACCATCTATATAAATAAAAATGTAATGTTTGTTTGTGGGATTAACATAACTCAAAAACCACCAGACGAATGGACACCAAATTTGGACATAAGACACCTATCAGGTCAACGAGTGACCATCACTCATTAAAACACTGAAAAACACACTGGAAGAGACTTAAAAAGCCAAAAAATAAAATAAAATACATTACAACATATGAGCATAATCACATAAATACACATATACACAAATATAGATACACACATATACACACAAAACACATATACACAGACTGGGCCAGAGCAACGCGTGGCAGGGGACGGCTAGTTGGTACAATAAAATTTCATCACCATTCTGCTGAAACAATACCGCCCTTTGTCTGAAAATGTTACTCCCCACTTTACATTTGAGGAGGGAATTGTGCTGGCTGTAGATTTCATACACACTGGGGAGCAGGGTCCCTCTGCCAAACTCCCAGATCTTACACCAAATCTATTTTGGGCCAAATGCTTTCATACACTTAGTCCCCAAAGAAAGTGACATCACTGTGAGATGGAGAAATCTCACCCCTAAAATGCCTAAAAGTAATAAGACGTCATTTGTAGTCCACCACAATGGAGCACATGTGACTCACTAAATCTCAAGTGGAGCCAAACATGGAACTATGGCCCCATCTACACTGCCATAAAAGCAGTTTTATAATATTGTCGAAGGCTTTCATGGCTGGAATCACTGGGTTGTTGTAGGTGTTTTTGGGCTATATGCCTCTAGAACATGGCCATATAGCCCGAAAAAACCTACAACAATCCAGTTTCAAAATGCAGATCAATTTTATTGAACTGCACTATATGACAGTGAAGACTCATATAATGCAGTGCAATGCATTTAAATTGCATTATATGGTCAGTGATGAAGGGGCCTATGTGGCCCTCCAGGCTCTGAAGCACATCCAACCCGTTCTTTATAGCATGCATCAGGACCAGACAAAATGGAATAATTATAACTAACTCAAAGCAAAGGGAGTTCCTTAAACTGCCTTATGTCATACTGTGTGACCAAGCCCTCCCCTTACCTCATTCCCTGTTTTTTTCAAAAGGCACGAATACTTACAAATTCAATTTCTTTGGTGTAATTCTGGTGTTCAGAGTTAGCAGTTGCCAAGTGATTTTTCAACTGTGCTTCCAAAAGAGAAGTGTACTCTTTTAACTGTTTAAAGGAGGAAAAATAAAGCTCTACAGATTATCTTTTCCCTTGTTGCATCTTCTAACTTGTCATTTTGAGGGTACAGATACACCTAACTACCATAGAAAATCCTCTTACAACCACGCTGGATTAAAATTCCCAAGCTTTAGTCATACTTTGGTCTTCTATGTACTGGCAGATGTCATGTCTCATATTCATATTCCAATGAAGAGAGATAGAGGCATTTTAATGTTTTTTCTCAGAGCTCTGTCAAAAGTTGTGATTCTACACACAGTTTTACACACTGATGTTTTCTTGACTCCTTTCCATTCCTAAATCAAAGCAGCCATATTGTGCAACTATAGATTAACCATATTTTGAATTTTAATAACGAACATCCTCAAGCACTGCTGTCAGTGTAGCTAGATAGAAAATACTAAACTAGATAGAAAAAATAATCTGAACTGGTATTGTCATGTAGTCTAGAAATGCTTCCATACCTTCTCCATATTTTCAAGTTCCATCTTGAACCTCTCCACATCATCTTCAAGATATTTCACTTGGTCTTGAGACTAAATGAAGCATTTTTTCATATCCAGAAGGTGAGAAATGGGGAAAAAGTGTGCAAAATTAACAGTTTCTATGTGTGCTTAGGAGAGAGAAAAAGAGAGCTCACATGTACCATCCAGAATCCTGGATTCATTCATTGAACTCAAGAAAATAATCATTTTAAATACTTGCAAGCTGTTCTCTGGAAGTGAAATTGCAAACTTGCCTCTAATACCATTCCTACAGAATGCATGACATGTTCAACTGCATATCTGTGCACTTGCACACATAGTGTAGAAACTAAACTCAGTGTAAACACTGCTTCTGAACACTGAAATGTATTTTTTCCTCTTTCTTTATAGTATAAAGTTCTTTACATGCAAATGTGTTCAGCTGTTATATGACTAACTTTGAGTGAAAGATGAGACATTAATTCAATAACTAAAAATGTGTACAGGTGGAGCACTAGATATTTTACCTCTCCTGATATATACAACAGTATTTATCTCCCTCCCTCTCTCTCCCCCCCCTACCCCATCCTCTTCCTATCAATACATTTGGATTATAATGGCAGAATCCCCAAACAGCATTCTTACTGCTGGCTGAGTATTAGGGCGGCTGTCCTAAAAAAAACTTTTCCAACCTCTGCCAAAGGAACACAGAGAAGCAGCAATACAACAACATTTAATTAGAACCATCTAAAAATCACAAAAGTAGTGATTGTTACAAGATCCAGATTGTTGGGGGAGGAACGGAAGAGAAGAAAAAAGTCACGATTCAACATATGACAATCATAAAACGATGATTCAGGATATTTTTTACTAACTGATTTCATGACCACGGCAAAATGTTTCAGGATTGTATCAAATGCTACTGGGTGAAAAGCAATGACTGCTGTTTGTTTGAAAATGTGAAAGCACCCATTGTTATCTGAACTTGTCTGTAGTACCAACTAGAATACATTGGTACTCTCTTGGGTAAAAAAGAAAGGGAGGGGGACATAATTTATATTTCAAAAATTAATTTCAAAATTAATTTCAGACCATCTACATTAATACATGCAATTTATTGACAATAGCAGTAAGTTAACTTCCTTTATAAAAACAACTTTACACATACACACAAACCAGAAGCGGAACTGGGAAGTGCCTGTAGATTAAGTTCAACCCCGAGTCCCTTTGGGAAGATAGGGCAGTATACAAATAAATTATTATTATTATTATTATTATTATTATTATTATTATTATTAGGAATCAAAATATTTTAAAGATACCAGATCTGATTTTGGAAGCTAAGAAGGGTCAGACCTAGTTTGTATTTGAATGGGAGACAGCCAATGAATACCAGGTGCTGTAGGCTATATCTCAAAGGAAGGAATTGGCAACCCACCTCTCAATATTGCTTCCCTAAGAAAACTTTGTAAAATTCCCCTGATTGCCATAAATTGACAGGAGACTTGAAGGCATATAAGACACATTTTGATCAATGTACATGTTAAGAGGTCTGAGAAAAGTGTTTGATTGTAGTGATTGGTTAGGAGAAATGGGTGTTTGAAGCCCATTTTAAACTGCCTCCTCCCAACCCTGCAATTTACTCTCTCTTATACACACTACTACCTTCTGAAGCGCTTCTTCCGATGCAGCCAGCTTTGCTTTCCACACCTGTTCCTCCTTCTCTACACTCTTCTGCAAGTCCTTGAGCATCCTTTCCTACAGTTTTGAGAGAAAAACAAAGCAGGAGAAGATGGAAAAGAAAGTGGAAATAACACTGGACTTGTAGTATAAATTTATTTTATTCAGTAACAGGAAGTTAGCATCACGGAATTATTCCTTCCATTTGACCTGACTGACATCCCATGTAAATTAGATTACACAGATTTGTGAGCTGTCTCTAGCCAATATGAGGTCTTGATACACATTCAACTTGGCGGGGAGGGAGTTTGTAAAGGGCAAAATACAGTTAGGCATTCACATTTGCTGGAGTTTGGAGCACAAGTCCTCAATAAAAGTGAAGGGAAAGTAAATTTTAAAAATAACTTTTTTTTATCTTGAGAGAATGTCTCTTTAGGTCCCCCAATATGACTCTATATGAGAGAATGTCTCTTTAGGTCCCCCAATATGAAGTTGAGCACAGAATCCCACTAGAGGACCTAGAGATCTGCTATATATATGTTATGGATTGGCATATCTTTGTTCCTAACACTTCAGAGAGATAGCCAGATGTATCAGTCTAAGACGGGTCCACAAACTTTTTAAACAGAGGGTCAGGTCACAGTCCCCCAAACTGTTGGAGGGCCGGATTATAATTTTTAAAAAAATGAATGAATTCCTATGCACACTGCACATATCTTATTTGTAGTGCAAAAAAACCCACTTAAAAACAATACAATAATTAAAATTAAACAAATATAAAATTATTAGTATTTCAATAGGAAGTGTGGGCCTATTTTTGGCTGATGAGATAGGATTGTTGTTGTTGTATGCTTTCAAGCCATTTCAGACTTAGGTTTACCGTGAGCGAGGGCCGGGTAAATGACCTTGTAGGGCTGCATCCGGCCCCCAGGCCTTAGTTTATCAAAGCACACCCAGTAGAAGGAGTTGCAATCAATTCATTTAGTCTATCTGGTATGTGGATTTCCTTACCGTTTCCCCAAGAGTAGTCCTGTACTGATCACATTCTGTTTGCAGTGTGCTTAGTGCCTCATTTGATTCTTTTGATGCAAGTGCTGAGTCCTAAAAGGAAATTTTACAAATGACATTTCAACAGAATTGCCATAGAGCAGAATGAACATTGTTGAAAAAAAGATCAGGAGGCCATTAAGCCCACTCTTACACAGGGCACAATATGCCTAAAAGACAGAGGTGATACAATACATGAAAATGAAAACACATTGCCAGAGGAAGCACAGACTCCATGATTGAAGCAACCGAACCATAAGATGATTTAACCTCATATAGTAGTTTCCCACTGCTGTCTCTTCAACGAAGGGGAAACTTCACAACACCCAGCATCCAACTAAAATGCTCCTTCGGGAATTGGTGCTTCTGGGTGCTTCAAAGAAGCACTCCCAACACAGTTTCCCTCTCTCTCATCCCTTCATCTGTCCTCAAGCTTCTGAGATGTGCCACTTTAAGATGTTTCAGGTAGGAATATACAGTGGTAGGAATACTCACAACCTCTGCTTTGGCATTCTTCTTTTCCAATGATTCCACAGCTTTCTCTTTAAATTTCTCCAACCATATATCATAAGTCTGGGAAGTAAACAAAACAATAAGTTTCTTTGTATAACATTATATCCCTCCCAGGCCCCATCTACACAGCTATATAAAATCCAGATTATCTACTTTGAACTGGATTATGTTAGTCTGCACTACCATATAATCCAGGTCAAATCAGATAATCTGGATTTTATATAGCAGTGTAGATGAGACCCTAATAGAATTTTGAGATTTTTTCCAGATATTTATCATATATTTTAGAGAATTTATAAGTGTATCAATCCCTCTTTTTTCTTGTTTGCTATCATGTATTCTACAGTGCAAAGAAAAAAACAAAACAAAACTTCAACAGCTCTTACATGTCAACCAGCTGGTTTCTGGATCATATACTAACTGGAACATATGACAAATGCAGGCCAAAATAGCATTTGCCTTCTCTGCTTCAGTTGGTTCATTTTCAATTTATTATTATTTATTTTTACATGTAGGATTTCTTTTCCTGAGCCATGTTTTCCTCATCTTATACCAGTGCCCTTTTTGTGTCCTAAATATATATGTTTCTCATTTATCTCTATTGAATTTCATTGTATTAATTTCAGCCCAGTTTTCTAGTTACAAATGAGTTTGTAGTATCTGCAAATCTGACAAAGATTCCTCTGTCCCACTATATAAATCATTGATTAAAATATTGAACAGCATTGCCCCCAGGACAGAAACCTGAGGCATTGTACTTGAGTCCTCCTTCCAATTTCAAGCACAACCAGCAATATCAACACTTTAAAGCATGGGTTTCCAACCAATTATGGATCCATCAGATAGTGTGTTGGTCCATTCCATATTTAGCCAGTTTACTAATCAAAATATCAGTGAGGACTTTAGTAAACATTTTGTTGAAATCCAGATAAATATTAGTATACAGCAAACAAGATCACTATGCTGATTGTTGCATTGCATCACATATCGGACACTTCCCAAGTGTTTAGGATGATGTGATGTATCGGTGAATAATGCGTGCAGATCCCAGTAGGGTGGCCTTTTGAAGCTGACAGGTGGCAATTTTGTCAGTGCTGATTGTGGTCTTTAGGCACTGTATCCAGTGTGCCAATCACCACTGGGACCCCCTTGACTACCTTGTGCCAGTCTTTGCAATTTGATCTTTAAATCCTCGTATTGTGTCAGCTTTTCCAATTGTTTCTCTTCAATCCTGCTGTTGCTTGGGATTATTTTTATTATTATTTTTAAAATGTAATTATTATGTTTATTTATATCCCACTTTTTCTCTCCACAAAGTTAGTTTGGCAGAATTTGTTCTTGACTCCTTGCTATCTCCTGCTGATCACTGCACAACTTACAATGGTGACTTCCACTGCCTGTTAACAACTGTTGAAGTTATTATGCACAGATCCTAATGCTTTTAACATGAATCAGCAAGGGAGTGATGTGGGCAAGTAGCAGGACACTTGTGGCTTTCCAAATTCAGAGCTCACTGGTACAATTATGAGGGGTGATGGGACATTTAGTCCAGAACACTAAAAGGTCTTAAGGTGGCTCACTCCTGATATACAGATGCACTGCTCTACCACTAAACCATAGCGCTTCTCTGTACACCTTTCCATTAGTACTTCCCTCAGTTATCACATTTGAAACTGCCATGCTATATTTTATGGCCAGACATACTTGAGGATTCCACTTTGCTTTGTTAGCTGCCCTACTTAAATTGGTCAAATACACACACATTTAGAAGTAAGGAACTTCAGTTCCAGGATGGAATTTCAGAACTGAGCAGAGCTTACAAAAATCCATGTCTTTCTACCCTCAACTTTTAAAATTCAACAATATAATTTAGGATGGAGAAGCATTTTGTTGTTGCCGTTATTTAACAACTGGGAATCACAAATCCTCGCCAATCTGCATCAAATCAACCAGAAATCTAGACCAATCAGTTGTAAACAGGTGGTACCTACCTGTTGACCATCTAACAGAACCTCTGGGAAGAGGGAAAGGAGCACATTCTTGGTTTGTTCCTCAATCATTCCAAGCTGCTGTTCCAATGTTTCCTGAAAAAGTAAGGAAAAGCTTTCACAGACTTCAATTTGCTTAACGCTTTTCTTGAATCAACAAGGGACCTTTCAGTTATTATCAATGTACCTAAGCTGATGCATACCAACTTCTGTATCACTCCAAGTGTAGGAACTTCACAAGGACAGGGTGTAACAAATGGATGTACCACACAGGTACTTTCAGTAGAAAGTCAAGGTTGGCTGCAACTCCCTGATACATGTCCAGAAGACTCGGAGAAGGTATTAGCTTGCTTCCATTTTGTCCCTACATTTCATTTTTATTATAATCTAGCAAGGTAAGGTCCACAAACATTTCAGTACTTTGTGCAGCCTCTGCCATTTATATGTGCATGATGTGTGTTTTCAAGTGATTTCCTTAAGGTAAATCCATCAGAGAGGGAGGTTTGGCAAAATTTAGAGTGGGTTTGCCCTGGCCTTCATGTGCAACTGCATGTGATTAGCCTGAAGGTCACCTAATGGATTTCCATTGGCAAGCAAGGAGCTGAGATCTAGAGTCTTGGTGTCATAGGGCCCTTCCACACAGCTATATAACCCATAATATTAAGGCAGAAAACCCCACAATATGTACTTTGAACTGCGATATCTGAGTCCACACTGCCATATAGTCCAGTTCAAAGCAGATAATGTGGGATTTTATTCAGCTATGTGGAAGGAGCTTTGGTCAAACACTCAGAAGCCATGCTAAACACTCAGAAGCCATGCTATTAGCACTACGCCTCCTATCATTGCTAAATTTCAGGTATGGCAGAAAGCCCGTTCCCCTTATGGTTTTAGTGGAGAAGTACATTTCTAGAAACCTCCAGGAAACAAAATTCACCCCAAAAGAAAGGCGTGCAGCTCTCAGGTACATTATTGGACTTTAAAATATTGTTTTGCATAAACTGGAAATGCTTTTTGCGACTTCTGGTTATAGCTATGTTGCCAAAAGTTAGCACACATGGTAGTGGTGAAAAGGATTACACCTGCATTAAGAATTGGTTATCTAGGGGCCTCATCCCATTTGGGGGGGGGGGAGAGAAGGGATACCCATGTTCTCAAGTGTTGTGTTTCCGTGTTGTTTAAAAACTAGTAATTGCTGTCTTCTTCATCAAACAGGTTACTCGTACTGTTTTAGCAGGAATCGCCCCTCTCAATTTGCCTTCATAAAATACAATGGAGACATCTGATGATACTCCTTCAAGTACCTGGCTTTCCCCACTTCCAAGCGAATTGAGAGGTATGGAGTCAGTTTCTTGACATTTTAAAACTGAAGTCCCTCGGGCAACCCCCAGAAGTAATCTTGTGTCATTTGATGGCTTCCGTGAACTCCATTTTCAAAGTATCTAGAAACAGGGGGAAGCCTGTGTGTGATGAGGTCCTAGGGCAGGATTCAGTTAGAGGATCTGTTGTCAGCCACTATTTACATGGAGAAGAGGGCTATTCTTGCCTTTTGTGTCTTGAACTACGCTAGTGTTTTCCATTTTCCTATGTAGTTAGGACATCTTCTCAAACTCTCGATCATTCTTGGGCAAGACTGCAGATTGGGTGGCAGTTTTGTAGCTGTCCCCGCTTAGTACAGACACCTGTTTCCAAATGGCTGTGCAAAATGGCTTCACTTCCATTGCAATGATTTGGAATTAAAATATAAACCTATTCAAAGCTTATAGAAGCCTTTATAAAAATTACAATTAAAGGTTACTGTAAGGAGTTGCAGGAAAGCCAACCTTTGTTTTAGCGGAGGACTGCAACTTTTCTTCACAAGACTTTCTAACTGAATTCAGAGCTTCTGTAGCTTCCTGATTCTTTTCTTGCAGGTCCTGTTGGAAATAAAAGTAAACCCAAAAAGCTCAGTATTAGTAGGATGCTGACCACAAACATGTACATGCAGGAATTCAACCAACCCTCTTAACAATTTTTTTTAAAAAACATTATTCTTATCTTCATTTCAAAAAATAATTGATCTAATTTAAATCCAATGACTCCCATAGGTTTTCTTGCATCCCTTCAAAATATATACAAAAATATTTAAAAATAATATTAACCTCTTACTACTCAATATTGAAAATCAAGTCATCCCTTCTTTACCCAGTTTCACCAACAATTCCTTTCCTAGCACACTGCATTATTTTATTTTTAGCCATTGGCTCTAAAACTTCACTTAATTTTATATATGTGTGTCTCTATATATGTGTACACATGCACGCACACACAGAAGCCAATATACATACACAAATGAATATGCAGAGATCCTACTTTGGTTCTACAGAACTCCTCATGCTATATACTTGCTGAGCTGTATTGGTTATATATATTATTGACAAATCCCTCTCATTCATGTTTGGAGTTCCAAAGTATCTGGATTACATTTTCCTCTAATTCTTTCTAGTAAGTCACTGTTTTTAATCATATATGCTTCCCCTGCCCCAGGAAAGGACAATTTTGGTAGCTTCAGGATCAGTTTTCTGCCCTTGGAAGTATCCAGAGCCACGCAGGCTGCTAAAATGGCTAAGTAAGTACTACCAGAAAGAAGCTGGTAGTACATTTTTGAGACTTGACAATGTGGGAATGGAGTGTATGTGTGTGTGTTCTAGGTAGAAATGGAACTGCTGTTCCTCAAAGTTTTTCAGGAGAAAAAAAAACCTTATCTGGATATATAAATATTAAATATAAAAATCCTTTATGTGGAGGACTGGGGGCCTCAAAGTTTCCAGCCTGTTGGAATCTAATCTGTGGAGGCTCTGGGGTACATGTGGGAAGAAATATGATATTCCTGATAGCTGGGAAAGGGGAAGAGAAGCAAAGCCTTTCTCAGATTGTGCTTCCTGCTGTTGTCATCTCATGGATGGCTGCAGGGTAGAATATGGGTCTACCCAAGCAGGCCCATAGCCAGAGCAGGGCAAGTTAAGGGTTTCACCCTCTGGTTCACCCACTCATGAATTTTAACTAGTTAACCAATTAGTGAGGAAACCAGGGTTTTTTTTAGCCTGACACATTGGGGGGGGGGGTTGAACCTATAACCCACCCACCCCCCTGCGAAGCCGCGTCCCCACCGCTCGTTACTACAATTCGAAGCCGTTCACTTGCTGCCACCAAAATATGTGAAGTAGTCTCCAAAAATAAAATA